CCCGGGGGAACAACAAGTTGACCAGGAGCCAGCAATGTGCCCCCGTGGCCAAGAAGGGCAATGGTATCTTGGGATATCTTATGAAGAGTGTGGCCAGCAGGTCGAGGGAGGTTGTCCTCCCTGACTCTGCCCTGGAGAGGCCACATGTGGAGTCCTGTGTCCAGTCCTGGGCTCCCCAGTTCAAGAAAGACAAGGAACTACTGGAGAGAGTCCAGTGGAGGGCCATGAAGAAGATGAGGGGACGGGAGCATTCCTCTTATGAGGAAAGACTGAGGGAACTGGGTCGGTTCAGCCTGGAGAAGAGAAGACTGAGAGGGGATCTTAAACAGTGCTTATAAATACCTTAAGGGTGAGTGTCAAGAGGATGGGGCCAGACTCTTTTCAGTGGTGCCCACTGACAGGTTAAGGGGCAATGGGTACAAACTGAAACACGGGGAATTCCATCTGAGTATGAGGAAAAACTTCTTTACTTTGGTGGTGACAGAGCACTGGAAGAGGCTGCCCAGAGAGGTTGCAGAGGCTCCTTCTCTGGAGATATTCAAAACCTACCTGGACATGTTCCTGTGCAACCTGCTGTAGGTGACCCTGCTTTGGCAGGGGGCTTGGACTAGGTGATCTCCGGAGGTCCCTTCCAACCCCGACCATTCTGTGATTCTCTTTATTCGTCATTTCTCCTCTTACCACTTATCATACTTAATGCTTTCATATGTACAGCCACTTCATTCACATATAATCTTTTACGGAAGAGTAAATCAATCTGCTCTTTCCTTCCTATAGTTCTATTAATAAGAGGCGCCACTGCCACATTTACAAAATTACACAAACAAAATCAATCTCTGTCACAACTTTGATCTGCAGTTTATAGTAGCTCCCCTCATCCCTTCCTTTTTTCCTTAAGCATACAGGGAAGAGGACAGTTGACAAGGTAGGTGTATTCACGTATGCAGCCAAGCCAAAGAAAATCAGGTGTTTTTATAAAAGTCTTCCCTGCACAGAGCACCACCTCTTCACCCACTGCCAAACTGCAATAGGAACAGCAGTTTAACAAATGCAAATGGATTTCTTTCACAAAAGGTAAAGGTTTACTGTGAGATATTGCATCCATTCAGAAGAAGGAAACAGGCCATTAATTGCAGTCTAACATAACAAGCCCAGAGAAAGAAAAAAAGAACACACAAAAAAAAAAAATGGTTTGACACATCTGTTTTCAGTCAAATACTCAACAACATGCAATATGCTTTTGCAGAATGAACAGATGGAAGGAAGAAAAAAAGCTTTTTAACCTTAACATTCATGAAAGAGTTTACTCAGAGAAAAGGCCTTGTACGACTTTCTAGAACTTTGTGGCTTGATTTTAATAATAAAAGTTTAATTATTACAATTGCTTTCTGCACTTTTTTTTTCAAGATGTTTTTTTCCTTGTGTCATGTATCTCCCCCTCCACCAGCTCTTCTGATGACATTTTGAATAATTCCCACCTCCAGAGTATGGAGACACAGGAGAAATACAGAATTTTCAATTGCACTTTAAGAGCATTGTCACATCACCGAAATGAATACAGGGACATAGCTTGAGTGAGGTAAAGCCACAGAAACAAAGAACAATTACACAATTGTGATTTTCTTGGATGTTTTCAGTGACAGAGTATTATTGCTGCAATTTTTAATAGCTATTGACATCTTTTATTCAGATCAGAAATGCCACTGTCTAAAAAAGTTCCTGATTAAAGAAAAGGAAAGAAAGGTTCCAGGGCCTTTGCAATGTAACATAATTCAATACATGGCACAAAATGGGCTGAGATTGGTCCTATGTGCCCATGTAGAAAGCTCTCCAATAGAAAAGAAAGTATCTAATTCTCGGAGTCAGCTCTTAGTCTAGGTGTTCCCCTTGTTGTGCCTACAGAAGGTAAACTGAGAGAAGGAAGGAGAATGAAGTAGCATTTTCCATCAAATTTTCAACTGCGTTAAAGCCATTGAGAACTACAGGCCGTTGCTCTAAATTACTAAGGGACTGAACCAGAGATGCTGAGGTATAAGAAACAAGGCACAATTCTCAGGCCTCAACCTAACTACTAACTACTTAAGTATCTACCTAAACTCCACTACTTAGCAAAACTTGACAGGTCTTTCTCACACCATTTTCTCAGTGCTAAGACTTAGTGGCTACAGTAAAAACCCTGTAAATTCTAAAATAGATCCCAAGTTGAAATATGTTGTGACCAAGAAGCACAGCTACTTACTTCAATTCTCTTCTCAAACTTCTCTCCTTGTATCAGACGATCAACATAGATTTTGGGAACATGAATGTCTTCTGGGGCAAATGCTCCTATATCAACGATTTCTTCCACCTACAAAGAAAAAAGAGAAAGTGAAAATATTTATTAAAAAGTATACAATGACAGATTTTATTAGCAATTAAGTTTCAAATATTAAATATACAGTGGATCAATTCAAGAAAACTAAGGAATGGGTCAAAAATAGATATACCATTTAAAATATGCTATTTTAGGTGCCTATCTTTCCTCTTCTTTCAAAGGATATTTCTACATAGAAATTGAAAGTTGTTTATGCTTTAATAGCCCAATTTGTATGACCATCTTGAAGAAATATATCATGTATAGTTACTTCAGAGTTGTTTGTACCTACAAATAATTTCCATCCAAACAGAAGAAAACAATGTGCTGGTAACAAAAAGTCAGAGTACAAAGCAGAAGTATGAATTCTAAGGATACAAACACAGAAGCTGGCTTGCTGGCTTGAAGTTTCTCCAGAGTGTACTCAAAAATGAAACTGAAAATATTTGAACTGTAATAATTGATTACAAGAAAGATGTGATGATCTAGAAGTCTCTACAGTTAGTGAAACAGAGATTCAGCACGAAATGGCACCAATCCACACACAGTACATTTGAAATACCACCTATTCGGAGCACTGCAGACAACAGGATTTTCCTTCCTTCTACATCTAAGTTCAGAGTGGTCTAGCTGAAGACCTTGCTACAGCCAGATGTCTGCAGCACAGACCCTCAGCCATGCCTGATGCTTTCCCTGACAAGTCTCAGCTGCAGAGAGCACATCTCACTGCACAAAACAGACACTACTGTTAGGGCTGGCTGTACCTGCGTCCGACCACAGAGAAAATGTCTATCAAAGCAACAGGTCAAGGATAACATCTGAAACAATCTACTTAAAAAGAAATTAAATAAGTTTCCAAACTGCTTTATCACCAGGAACTAGTTAAACTTTCAAGAATGTCCAAAGTCTAAGAACCTCAAAATAAGACCCAGGGTATGACATATCAGTAGGGATACATCACTTAGCAGCCATCACCAGTGAGGCAACATTAAAGAGCTTAAAATTCAGTTTGGCATCCTATTGTTACTGCACAATGTGATCAATAATAAAATCAATAGTACATCTGACAGACAATTACCCTCCTACTGTGCCTTGCAGTGTGACAATAAACAAACAAACAAATCCACCTTAAAAGCAGCAGAGGGAGGGGAAAAGGATCAGGTTCAGATGATCCCTAAAAAAATCCCTGGGATAAACAGACAGGAAGAGACAAGTTGTGAAATCTGTAAGGCAAAGGTGGTAAGCAAGAGGCAGTAACAGCCACAGTCACAACACCTGTTCATGGAGAGCAGAATCACAGATCCCGAAAGTCCTTATCCACAAAATAAGGAGAGGCAATCAAATCAGTATTTTAAAATTCAGACTACTGTAGTCACAAAAAATGGTGCAATCACATCGATGTCCTATCTCGCCTGAAGTTTATTATTTTATACATGAATTTTAAAATTAATATGGAGACCAAGTCAAACACAGGGTAAAATGAAAAAATCCTAAAGCACACAACTGAAGCACACTGCACTCTTGGTGTAGCAACTACTACCAGAACATGCCTGAAAGGTAGAAGCAGCAGACAAGATTTTTCAATGAAGCCATACGCAAGCAGATGATCTGCTACCAGCAGAATTCCCAAATTCACCTTTTCTAATTAAATTTGTCTTCACTTATCAGGTGGAAAATTAGGCCTGGGGAATACTAATTGCTACTGATTTGAACTTTCTTGTAAAAGAATTACATTTATTTGCTGCAGCAGCTGGGAGTATGAAACTAAAATCTTTACTGGCACAATTCAACCAACTTCAACAGAATTAAGCTCTCAGAAAACCTGACACACTGTGTCTCTCCTCTCATAGAATACACAGAACAAATAATGTATGCAACAATAAATTGTTGGATTTTGTTATTAGTCACCCCATTGCCTTAATTGGTTAGTATTTTGTCTCTTTGGAAACAGCAGTCAGCATGATAGCTTTTCCTTACAAGAACCATCAACATAATTATTTATTATTTCTGTATATTATCCTAAATGAACACAACACAGACAAACTGTATTTTGTCCTAGAGATTTCAAATGAGCCTAAGGATCCCTGCAGACTGGAACACCTTTGCGTTCACAGGCAGCCCTCCACTATTCTTACTGGTGTTTCGCAACTTCCACGTTCCACCATTATGTGAAAAAAGCATCAAATGTAATTAAAATTAAGTATGTTAAAATATCCACATAGCAATAAAATGGAATTTTGAAAAAGATTAAAAATTTGAATGTTATGTCTGCAAGAATACATATCATCCAGTTCTGCAAGTGAAATTAATCAGCAGGTTTGTATGAAAAACAAAGAATTTGTGCAGGGGAAGTACAAACATCACCTCATTGCTCCAGCTCTCCCAACTCTGCTCACAGGGAACTAGATGATACTCCAGCTAAGACACTGTAGATGGGCTGCCAGCAGGCTCCATCAGTATTGCCAGCACTTCTACCGCAGATGCTGCTGTGCCAACAAAAGTGAAACCGGGAAACCTGGTGGCTACAGGAACATGCAACTTAACTTTCTGTGACCACTGCAAGACATAACCCAAGCACCTTTCTAGATAATGCAAAAATAAAGTTCACTGTTGGGCATATTCAATTCCCTTTCAGGTTTCATATTCGTTTATGACTCTTTTCTGTAACACATCCACAGCCTAAACCTCAATAAGACATGCAGGAGAGCATCCATATTAATAATTAAAAGGATGTATGTGTTTTCTTCCTATTCTGGTCTCCATTTCACCTATCCTTCTGTTCTTTTTTCTCTCTACTTACCTTGCCTCAGGCTTTATTTTGTCATGTACAGTTGAATCCCTTGTAAACATCAGAAATCGTTATACAGCATCCCACCCAAGAGACACAAAGTCTGGCAAAGCATAAAGAGAGAACTAAAGGAACTAATCAGGGCAGACCACCTCCTGCATTTTTTTTAATTAGCAAATCAAAATACTCTGGTACCTTGATCACATGTGTTCATTTTGAATCTTAACTTCATCAATGTGCAAGAAGACAGAAAATGTTTACATCTTTGCTACACAGGTAAAGTTAAAGAGTAACTTCAAGAGACTACATGGGCTGAGTTCCCTCTTCTGGGAAGGCTCTGATGCATGGCCTAAAAATCCTTTCATTGTTTCAAAAGTTTCACAGTATTGGTTTTCTTCCTGGGTATGAATGTTCTTGCAGATCTTGTCTGATTGCTGACAATGGGAGTAGAATGAATAAATTCAATCATTTCTGAATACTGGTTTATCTGCAAGTACACCCAGAACATAAAAGCTGTTCTTCGCTATGATTCACAAGAGCCTTCTGCCATTCCTTTTGGTATCATCACTCACAGAATCAATGGTCATTTGTTTCACTATATCACTTCCTTCTGTAATTTACATCTACTTTTCCCTTTTTAATGTAGCTTGCTTTATTTTTGCTTATGGAAATTCAGCTACTCTTCCATAGTTTTATACCAGAGTTTTTGAAGGCTTCCAGAGAAATAAAAGGAACCTTGAAGGCTATGGACTTCCAGTAAGAAAGATAAAGAACTCTGGTTCTTGACCAAAAATTGGCACGGAAATTACAATAACACAACTATTCATGCCAAAACGCTTGAAAACAAAAAGGTCTTTCCTTTGAGTATGTACCTTTTAACCTATTTCTGCAGCCTAATTATGTCCTTTATGATATGGTAAATGGTTTCAGCTGTTTCAGTTTTAAATCTTAGTTCTCATAAAACTAAGCTATAACCAGAAATGACAACATAATTCCTTATTATGGGAAAAAAATAAAAACCGTATATGTGTGGGTGGGTGAGAGAGAGAAAGAGACAGGGGGAGAGAGAGCTTAACAAAACCTATGCATTTTTAAGTAGCTTATTTTTATACTTGCTTTATTAAATCTCTCTATCACTATCCTAATTATCCTAGTACACTTCAGTTCTTCAAACTGAAATAATAAAAATACTCAGCAGAACATAAGTAGAATAAACATTACAACTGGTCAAATGTCCAAAACAATGGAAGAATGAAATCAAATGTAGCCTCTTAGACATTCAAGACAAACTCATTTGAGCACTTCTTCAGTTCACTACTGGAAAAGTCAGTCACTGCAAAATTCATTGCAACATTTATAAAATCATGACAAGTGGAATACGCTCTGAAGAGAGGTCACTGGAAATTAAGAACACACTATACAAACTTACTGGGCTACAGGAAAGAGCAAAGCAGGTTAATATTTACTTGGTTCTGCCTTCATGCAGAGTGATAGAGGATCTTCTGAGTTCAGTTCTGTCTTTTTCTAACTCTAAGATCAGCCAGACCATGAAATTTCTAGTCCTGCCAAACTCCTGTGGTAATCAAATTACGGTCAGTCAATAGCCATCCTGAAGAACAGACTTTTACAACAACTTTAAAAAGTAAGCACCAAGTAGTCTGATAAAGGCACATCTTGGTCAATAATCACCATATTATGCTCACATCAGATTTGGAATAAAGGTCTTCAGAAGCGTACTGAGGGGCAGGGGAACAGTAAAAATCTGTAAAGTTCAGATTTATTAGAGAAACTTTAGCCTAATGAGACTGATCTGGGTCACACTGAAGGTCCATTTAGTCCAGTAACTGTTGTTCTTGGTGAAGAACTGGAGCTTAAAAGACAGCATGGTACTTTTGGTTATATTCTTCCAGCTCCTAGCAATGTGCAGTTTCAGGATGTCCTCAGTCAGAGGCTGGACATAGACAACCTTGCTTCATACCTTCTGATAGACCACGAACTTGTCTAATAGTTTCCTTGGAACCCAAAAGACTCTATCATTGCATTTCTACAATTTAACTAGTATGAAAAACATCTCTCATTATCTCTTGTAATTTCACTGTATGCCTCCTTCTCTTTGCAATACAGGAATAGAACACAGCTGTTCTTTCTTTGCCTGTTGCATACCAATGAAGATCCTATGTACTTTTTTATTTCTTCCTGGTTTCTA